CTTCCTATTAACTTCAAATTATCCTCCAGTATGAGTCCTAGCAGTGAAGAAGAGAGGATGGAGATGTCTCGAGTACCATATGCATCAGCAGTGGGAAGTTTAATGTTCGCTATGATATGCACAAGACCAGACATTGCACAAGCAGTGGGAGTGGTTAGTCGGTACATGGCAAATCCAGGCAAAGAGCATTGAAATACAGTAAAGAGGATTCTGAGATACATCAAAGGGACCTCAAATGTTGCATTATGTTACGGAGGATCAAACTTATTAATCAATGGGTATGTAGATTCTGACTATGCAGGAGATTTGGATAAAAGCAAATCTACTACAAGATATGTGTTCAAAATTGTTGGTGGAGCTGTAAGCTGGGTTTTAAAATTGCAGTCAGTTGTGGCTACATCCACAACAGAGGCAGAATATGTAGCAGCTACACAAGCCAGTAAAGAAGCAATTTGGTTGAAGATGCTATTGGAAGAGCTTGGGAACAATCAAGAGTATGTCTCTCTGTTTTGTGACAGTCAAAGCGCCTTGCATTTAGCAAGGAACCCAGCATTTCATTCAAGGACAAAACACATACGAGTTCAATACCATTTCATTCGTGAAAAGATGGAAGAAGGGACGGTAGATATGCAGAAGATTCATACCAAAGACAACATAGCAGATTTCATGACGAATGCGATCAATACCGATAAATTTACTTGGTGTCGATCCTCTTGTGGCCTGTCAGAAACGTAAGCAACATGATGGTACAAGGTAGAAAGAATGGTGTGAAGATATAATTGTTTCAATCAAATCTTCAAGTGGGAGATTGTTGAAAATTAAACCAACTTTCGATGGAAAGTTGGATTTAATTAATCCACCGAATGGAAAATGTCAAAAAGGGTGGATTTGTGTTGAAAATTAACAATGATAGAAATGCACTTTTAGTCATTGTAATTTAAGGTATTTACAAATTAGTCCTTAAGCTTCAACTATAAATACCCTAGCTCATTTAGCTTCAAAACCATCCCAAAGCATTCTAGCTTTCTTCCAATACTAGAAAGAATTTAGAGAGTTTCTTGAGAGTTGTTTTCTCCTTTTTTTTTATCAAGAGAGAATTATCATTGTTTTCTCCTTGGTAGATCGAGAGAGGTTGTAATTCCTATTTTCTCATAGTGAAATTCTTCTACCGTTGCCCGTGGTTTTTACCCTAATAATTTTAGGGGTTTTTCACGTAAAATTTGTGTCTCTTTTATCTTCATTTTTATTTTCTCAAATTATCAGTTGCGATTTTGCTCTATCCGATAGCCGTCTTCCGCAACAGGTACTACTGCTGTTGTACAAAACTGTGACATTGTTTGCTAGAAAAGATAACTGTTACATCAGTTTAATTAATTTTAGGGAGAAGAGAATGGTTTGGTCTTGGTTCGATGCAGGGTTTCAAATCGCGGTTGCGTTTTCGGTTATTTCGGATTTATCGTGATTGCGGCCGTCACGGGCGCTATTACGGCCGTCGCGGATGCTATTACGGCTGTCGCGGGTAACTCTGACAGCAGCGAAACCACTATATCGAGGTCAAAATCGCGATCGCGGACCATTTTTTAAAACTCTGGTCCGATGTTGGTGCTCTATTAACCGTTGACGAGAAGAGAGTTAGAGATGCCATTGCAATGGAAGAATGCAATTAAACTTGGCTCACTGCGGCGGCGAGAAGGAGAGGAAAGAAATTAAAGACGTTTATTGCAATGAGGATAAATGGGTTAACTATAACCTTAGTCTCTGAAGTCTCTACAATTTTAGAAATTAAAAACTTTTAGTTTTTATTAACCAAAATAAAAGAGAAGAAAATAATTAAATGATAAATTATGTAATTTACCCAATTTATAACAACTGAAATTAACAGAATCGTTGATCATTGATGAAAATTGTTGGCTAAAGGGTCACATTGATCAAAAAAATAGGATGATGGACATACTAAGTTTTTTTTTTGGAAAGTTTAAGGTAATCGGGTGCCTTTTTTGCCAATAAAAATCTTTGTAGATCTTATTTAATTAAAATAATATTATGGGTAAACTATGTGAGCAGTCTCTTTTATTTTTTGTATGATTAATTTTGTTCATCAATTTAAAAATTAAGAATAAATAATCTTTAATGTTATTGATCTATCTGATTTAAATCCCTAACGTTATCAATTCGTCTAATTTAAGTCACTTTGTAATTAAATTATGTTAACCCTCTAACGAATGTATGAGGTGGCAATTAAAAAAAAATCTAAAACACACAATTCAAAAACCACGTGTCTTTTTATTCTTTCTTTCTTTCTTCTTCACCGCTCGTTTTAAAACACGGAATTTTAATGGATCAAACCAAAACCAAAACCAAAACACTAGCAGGTGGACTAGACATGAGCAACTCACATCTGAGGCGAAATGACCCTGTCATGGAAGTAAAGCTCCACCACTAGATACTCGAACCACACGTCGATTCTATCATTGGGGTTCGAGAAGTTTGCCAGGAAAACAAAATCTCCATTGAAATACTCCCACGAGTCGAAGTATATGCCGTTGAGCCTTGCGTTGGGAGTGTCAAACAATGAGATTTTTGATTTCATCGAGAGGAAGATGATTAACGTTGCCACATCAAAAGATGAGGACGAGGCTGAATATCAAGCATATGACGGAGCAACACCATATCAATGGATTGGTTCGTCGAGGTTGAGGTGGTCAGAGGATTGATTTTCTTACTTCCCTTGAGTTGATGTCGGTGTCGGGATTCGTTTTGCCTGAAGATGGGGTTTGTGGTGGTTGGTTTATGATTGGTTTTGAATCTTCTGATATTATGAATTGGGATAGAGAGACCAGCATGGCTGATTTTTTTTATGGTGGAGGCGGAGAGAGTGGCAATGGCAATGAAGGTAGAGGGGAAAGTATGATTTTAACAAATTAGTTACTATGTAACATTTTTGTTAAGGGGTTAATTGGAGTTAACGATTGAGAAATTAAAATCGAATGAATATATAACATTAGAAGACCATTTATCTTTAATTTTAAATTAGTGATCAAATTTAATTATATAAAAAACAAAAGTAACTATTCACATAATTTACTCAAATATTATTGAATAGTTCATGTCATCATGGTTACGATAAATAATGTATATGTTAGTGGAATGTCACGATTAAATATTAAATTAGAGTTTAAATTAAAAATTTAATCATATAAACGAGTTAATGGGGAAAATTTGAAGATATCTATTATAGTTTATTCTATCTTTTTTAATGAGTAAAGTTAATAGTTAAATAAGATGAAATGACAGTTTAGTACGATTTGACAGTCATATAACGATGATAAATTAATTAATTATTTGTGATTCTTTTAATTTGAATTAAGAATCGTTGTTAATTAGCGTGAAATAAAAGTCAAGAGAAAGAGAGAAAATTATATAATTTCAAAATATATTTATAACATTTGATAAAATAATCATTTTAATTTATATTTTTTTCTAGAGTACTTTGACCTTAATATTTTATTTTAAAATAAAAAGATCGAATGAAAATAATTAGATAATAAACAGTTAACGCTGCAAAGTAAGTGATTTTAACCTCAAAATAAAATGTTAATGACCAAAATACTATATAAAAAGAATAAAAGTCAAAGTAACTATTTGGCGTTAAAATGAACATTGTGACCAAATTAATAAAAAAAATAAAGCCTAAAATAATTATTTTAATAAATATTTGAGATAAATTCTAACATTAGACCAAAACTGACGATATAATCTCTATGTTTATTTTTTTTATAGAAAGCTGCTAGTTCTATTAAAAATAGAAAATATTCATAATTATAATGAAGATTTACAATCATAACCGTAAAAGTAAACAAAATTATAATTAGTACATTTTTCTATAACCATTGACACAAAAACTAACCACCTAGATCACACAAGAAACAAAAAAGGAAAAGGTTAAAAAAACCTAATCAAAATATTCGAACATTATAAAGATACAAACAAAAATTGGTTGCATCGGCAAACGAACCACAAAAGGAGATAAAATTATTGAAAGATCACCGATAAATCGTAAATCAGAATCAAACAACGTGAGAAAACTATTCATGAATACAAAACGTGTATCTAAATCAATCCAAGGGTCCAAAGTAGGGAAGATCATCATGATAACAAATAAATACAATTTTGATTAGTCGTGGTCATATCAAATCCAACTCTGAAAAAAAAGATAAACGAAAAAAAACGTTAAAACGATAAAGAACTACCAAAGACAAAGAAAAATGTGTCAAAAAGATAGAGATAAACGTGTTATAAAAGCGGTTTTTTTCTTTACAATTTTTATCAATTTCTATAGATCAAAATCAATTTTTTCTTCTTTGATTTTGTTTAGTCGACGGCGACACCGATTTTGATGCTAGTTGTTAACCGCTGATTATTTATTCTTTTTATTTTTTAATAAAAAAATTTTATTTTATGACACGCTTATCTTTATATGTATTAATATATAAAAATATTTTTTAAAATACCCCTATAACAAAAAACCCAAATTCTCTACTCTCGTTTATACTATAGACATGTAGAAACCCAAAATGCAACACAATTTTAAAGGGTGCTGGACATGACATTTCTTCCAATTGTCTTACATAGTCCATGTTTTGCCAATGTTTCATCCCAAACTTCGCTTTTCTCGTCATAAACTCGATAAAATCATCTATGAATAGAATAAACTCGAGATCGAATCTGTCACACATTTTTTTATTATTTAAAATATAAATTGAGTGTTAAAATCTATATTTTTATTATTTTCTTCACTTGAAATTTTGCATACATGATCAAATAAATAATGAAGTCGTATGTTATTTTTATTAAATGAAAGAATGGAAGAAAAAATATATTCACCACGTTGTCCCCCCTTTTTTTTAAATATTTTCATCGACCCACCAAACAAACTCCAACAGTAGACTATAAAGCCCAAATGATGGATTCATCACTTCCCAAGTAGCCAAATTCTCAAATCAATTAAAATTCATATTTTATGAAGCTTGACAGCCTTCACAACAGGATTAGCTTTGGCGATCTGTTGTTTTCCCATGGCTTTGAAATCGAAACTACAACCATGTTCTTCCGGGTATCTATGGATCCCGCAAAACACCATCCCACACCTGCACTTGAACCCCGTGAGCCCCACGCGTTTGTTGCAGCTCAAGCATCGCTTAGGTCTAACCTCAACCACCGCCTCCGTCGCCTTCGTTTCCTCCGTCTGTTCATCCTCCACCTGGAACGAAGATGAACTCGATGTCGAAGGGATTGGGGTTTGATGAATCGCGTGTTTGGCGGAGGAAGATTGATGTTGTTTAAGCTGAAAATCACGGTGACATTTAGAACAAAGATTCTGCGTCGCGGGGCTTCCAAGTAATCCGCAGTTGTTAGCACATGGTTTTGGTGCTTGACATCTATGTTCTTCCGCCATTTCTTCTTTGGATTTCCCTTCGATCAAACCTGCAAACAGATCATTCAATAAAACAATTTGCATAAAAGAAATCAAAATTGAGAAGAAAATTTACCCCAGCCAAGAGTTTCTAAGAGGAGGGAGAGGTGGCAAATGGGAATGAAATGAGAAATCAGAATTGAAGCCTCCAATCCATTCCCTTTTTAACAGCACAAAAGGGAGATCAATTTCTTCCTAAAAATACCAGACGTTGAAGGGATTCGTGGTTGTGGCTCAAACAACCACATTCTTTTCTTCAACCTATTTAAACAAATATACGTAAAATCAAGGGCAAACTATTTATTTAGTACCTAAACTATTAGTTTTGACCCGTTTTAATTCTTAAACTTTCAGTTTTTTCAAAATCACTCATAATGTTTAGTTTTTATTTTATTTTAGTACCCAACATTAAAAACTTAACGCTTTTAGTACCTAAAATATCAGTTTTAATCTGTTTTAGTACCTAAAGTTTTAATTTTTTTCAAAACCATACCTAATTTTTAGTTTTTTATTTTATTTTAGTACCACGTCATTAAAAACTTTATGCGTTTAGTACCTAAAATATCAGTTTTGATTTGTTTTAGTATCTAAAAAATTCAAAACTTAAAGTTAAATTTTGAACGGATACTAAAATGAAACAAAAAACTAAACTTTAAGTATATTTAAAAAAAATTAAAAGTTTAAATATTAAAATGGACCAAAACTAATAGTTTAGATACTAAATACATAATTTACCCTAAAATCAACAGTTTGGATTGAATTTTACTAAAATATATAAATTAAATTCCCACAATATCGTTAAACCAAGAATTGGAGCAAGTACATTAGGTTCTTCAATTATATTCAATTTAATAAAGTTATTGAGGTCGGAGATCATCGCATATATTAAATCTTAAATATTAACTTTTTTTTTCTGATCGATGACAAGATGATATTTGTTAAAAGATTCTTAATTATTTGTTAATGAACGCTTCATGCATATACGATGCTTGAACCAGTAACATAGTACATAATAAATTTTCAATCATACTATGTGTTATAACCATTTTTTTTAGGTAAAACAATTAAAGTATTATTTAAAAATCGATTATGATTTTATTTTGGAAAAAATTGGTGATTTGAAATTAATTTGAAATTAAATTGAATAGAGTCACCATCGACCTTTGAGTTAGGTAGGTCGAATACCTAAAAACATTTTTTAAAAACAATTTTAATAAAAATCGTTTTTTAGACAAAAAACCGGTCTACGTTTACAAATATTCTATTAAAACGGGTTCGGGAGTCGATTACGTGTGGGGAAGGATAAGCACCCCCCAACAGCGCCCAAAATTGGTACTGTGCCGCTTACGCATCGTCGTAAATAGTGGAAAATATAAATTTAATATAAAGTTAAAATGTGATCCATTTATCAAACATTGATTAATTTAATTCGAATTAACAATTTAAAGAAAATCCTTTGACTTGAAAAAAACCTTGAAATTTGCAATCCTTCGTAAGGAAATCTATTTCAACCATTTTTCATTTATTAAAGAATATTCAATCATTGAATATGTAAGAGATGCATATTGAATATAAATTGCAAATTGATAATTGCGAAAAAATAAAATACATAACTTTCATTGTTCAATATAAAATAAAAATGAATTAACAACTAACAAACTAACATTAATTTATTTCAAGTTCCATTTAGTTCGAACGTCGTATTAGATTGTACCACTTCGATCAAGTGATACTTTCCACGCACGTTCTACAAATACGAGTTCTTGAAATATTCAAATAATATTTAAATAAAAAATTGCAATGGAAATAAATACAAATAGAAATATGCGAAATAAAATAATTACAACAAACAGAGTTAAGCATATTTTTATATATGTTACGAATACATAACATAAAAAAATATGTACATACATAAGGGATTGACATAAATGTGAATTAATATTACAAACCAAAATATAATGACCAAAAAGTAAGTACTTGAAATTACAAGGATCAAAATAATAAAAACATAAACTCAAAGCACCAAAATAGTACAAACAAGAATTTAAAGGACTAAAATAATATAAACAGAAATTTAAGGGGCTGAATAATAAATATAAATAAACCAGAAACACAATCGAATACATTAAATAATATAGGTTTGAATGCAACAAGTACAAATATTGAGGTCAAAAATAAGTAACAAAAACCTATATAAACCATGAACATGTGACTAAATTAAAAGAACACTAATTTTAGGGTCATGAATTACAAACAAAACATCATCATGAAATACACGTAAATATTGAATAATACAAACCTCAAGAACACAATAAAACCATAAAATAATATTTGAGACTAAAACAGTAAACATTAAAATCAAGAGACCAATGTATAAACATCTGAAAGAAAAAATAATCAAGCAAACAGGACTAAAATGAACTAATATGAAAATGTATTATTATAGTATAAATAAACTGAAATACGATGGCAGAAGCTGAAATAAAACCGTTAAAATATTTAAGAGGTAAACAAGGACTAAACTACAACATATACAAAACAAGAGATCAAAATAAAACGAAAATAAAGTTGCATTGATGACTGAAATGGAAGGGTACAAAATACAGAGGACTTAAAGTATGATTTTCCCCAAAATTTAAAAAAACACAGGAAGAATGTTACAAAGATGCGAGGACTAAATGGGCTATTTACCCTCTTATGCTGAAACACGCATACCCTGACCCCTTTAAACGGCGTCGCATTGGAGCTCGGATATAATTCCATTTTAAGGTTATTAAAAACCCTAATATCATTTGTTTCAAGCCCCCAGTTCAGTCGTGCTTCCATTTTTCTCTCTGTTTCCCTTCTCCCTCACCGAGACCTGAAAAACCGAGGCTCCCCGGCCACCGTATCAGTGGCCATGGGGAGCAAACTAACCCCGAAAGACCCTTAATCTCCCTTTTTCTTCATTTTCTTTAAAAACCTATCCCTAAAATACACTAACCCCAACCATTACCCTACCCAAAACTAAAAAACAAACCCTAAAGGTAAAGGGTTTACCTTTAATATTGTATTATGGTAGCTCCGGTGAGGCCAACGAAATGTTGGATCTAGCTAAATGTATCTCATTCTCTTTCTTTTTTTTTGGGTTCGAATCTGGTATGTTCTTCTCTGTTTTTTTTCATTTTCCCGAATCGTTTTCCCCCCTCTCTGTTGAATACCCGAATCCCCTTTTTTCATAATGGTTGCTTGTTGGATTTTAAGGGTTCTTTCGGTGATAATGATATAGTCTATGGGGTAGGGATATGATTTTCTGATTTTGGTATGCTTGAATCCCTAAAAATCGAGATTTAGGATGATATTTTAATGGGTTTTGATTATTTTTTTTCTGTTTTCTGACTTGGAGTGATTTCTCTCTGTTTGATGGATGCTTGTTGAAAATGATGAGAGCCATAGGGTCACTGTTGGAGCAGACAAGGATGGCGGTGGGAATAGACGGCAGCAACAAGGACTGGTGGCGGCACCAGCTAGCTATGATTAGGATTTTAAAACCCTATTTGATTCGGGTAGGGTCGCTAGGCCGGTTCGGGTTAGCTGGATCAGGGTACTGAATGGTCTGGGTAGGGTCTCTACTGGTGGGCTTGTTAACTGGGCATTGGCCTTTGTATCAGACGGGCTTCGGGTTTGAGCCTGCAAAAATTTGTAATATGTAATTAATAAACATAATAGTAATAATAATAATATAACGATAATAATAAATATTAAATAAAAAAACCCGGACAAAAACGGGTGTCTACAGGTGCCTCTCTTTGCACATTCTTGTGTTAACAAGAATAGGGCAAAGACGATAAGACAACACGTTTTTGTCTGGTTCTCTTCCTTTTATGCTTAGAAATTTGATAAGGTTTGTTGGGGACGACACTGCTCATACATGATGAAGAGTTCTGGTCGTTTAAGGGTGAGACGGTTCCTATGTGAAGAGGAAATCTGGTCGGGGGATGACACGGCTCATACGTGATGAAGAGTTCTGGCCATCTAGGGGTGGATGATAACTCGGTTCCTACGCGATGAGGACGGCTGGTTATCTAGGGGTGACACGGCTCCTACGTGATGAGGAGGTTTGGTCATCTTTAGGGATAATGGTTTTAAGGGAAACCGACACAAAGATAAGTTGTGCTTCAAAAGAAACAGACTCAAAGATTTGTTTCAAGAAAAACAAACTCAAAGATAATGTGTTTCAAAAGCAACTGTCTCTAAAGAGACAAAATTCGTTTCAAAGGAAACGACTTAAAGATAACGTTTAAAGGGAATTGTCTCAAGCGAGACAAAATTTGTTTTTAAGGGAAATGTTCTCAAAGATCGGTGTTTCATAGAAAACTGTCTCAAATGAGACAAAATTCGTTTCAAGTGAAACGATCTCAAAGATGTTTGTTTTGTTGCAATGGAAACAGACTCAAAGATGGTAAATTTTGTTTCCAAAGAAACAGACTCAAAGATTTTTCTCAAAGAAACTGTCTCGAGAGAAACAAAATTTTGTTTCCAAAGAAACAGATTCAATGATTTTTTTCAAAAGACATCGTCATAAGAGACAAAACTTTGTTTTTCAGAAACTTGTATCTTAGTGAGACAAAATTTTGTTTCCAAAGAAACAGACTCAAATATTTTCATTCAAAAGAAACTATTTTAAGGGAAAAACCTTGTTTCCAGAGAAACAAACTCAAAGATGTTCTTATTTTAAGGGAAAATGTTTCAAGAGACAAAATTCGTTTCAAGGGAAACGACTCAAAGATAGTTTTATTTCAAGAGAAACAAACTCAAAGATTTTGTATTTTTAGAGAAACTGCCTTAAGGGAGACAAAATTTGTTTTAATAGAAACGATCTCAAATGTGGGTATTTTCAAAAAAAACTGTCTCGAGAGACAAAAGTTTGTTTCAAAGGAAACAAACTCAAAGATTTTTTTCTCAAAAGAAATTGTCATTAAGATATAAAATTTTGTTTCAAAAGAAACAAACTCAAAGATGGATTACATCTTAAGTGAGACGAAATTTGTTTCAAAGGAAACAATCTCAAAGGTTGGTTTTTCATTAGAAACTGTCTCGAGAGAGACAAAATTTGTTTTAACAGAAATAGACTCAAATATGATTTTGTTAAAAGAAACAAACTCAAAGATTTTTTTCAAAAAACTGTTTCAAGAGAGACAAAACTTTGTTTCAAAAGAAAAATAATCAAAATTGGGTTTTGTTTCAAGGGAAACATGCTCACATATATTTGTTTTAAGAGAAATTGTCTCAAAAGAGACAAACCTTTGTTTTCATAAAAACAGACTTAAAGATTTTTCTTCAAAAGGAACTGTCTCAAAAGAGACAAAATTTTGTTTCCAAAGAAACATACTCAAAGATTTTTTCATTTTGTTTTAAGTGAAACAAACTCAAAGATTTTTCAAGAAAATCTGTCTCAAGAGAGACAAAGTTTTGTTTCAAAAGAAATAGACTCAAAGATCATTTGTTTCAAAAGAAATGACTCAAAGATGATGTTTGTTTCCAGTGAAACAAATTCATAATTTGGAAAATTGTCTCAAGTGAGACAACATTTGTTTTTAGAGAAATTGTCTCAAACGACACAAAAATTGTTTTTAGAGAAATTGTCTCAAGCGAGACAACATTTGTTTTTGAGAAAATGATCTCAAGTGAGATCAACTTTGTTTAATATGAAAACAAATTTGAAATTTGTATTCTCAAAGGAAAAATGTCTCAAACAAGACGAAATTTGTTTTGAAAAGAATAACAGTCTCAAGTGAGATTAATTTTTGTTTTAAGTGAATCAAATTCGAAATTTGTATATCAAAGGAAAAAAAATGTCTCAAGCAAGACGAAGTTTGTTTTAAGAAAATACGATCTCAAATGAGATCAACTTTGTTTAATGTGAAACAAATTCAAATTTTGTATCTCAAAGGAAAAATGTCTCAAATGAGACGAAATTTGTTTTGAAAGAAATTGTCTCAAGCGAGACAAAATTTGTTTTAAGAAAAATCTCAAAATTTGTGGAAAAATGTCTCATATGAGACTGAATTTTACTTCAATAAAAAAAACCTCAAAGGTGATAGATAGTCTTCTTGTTCCTGTATGTTGAGGAAATGTCTTGATTGTTGACTTCAAGAAGTCAAATCATTTCTTCTTCAAGTTAGAGATATCTGGTCATTTCTGAGCTTTGATTTCCTGAGAGATCAAAATTATGTATTTTTGACTGACTATCTTGGATGTTATGATGGATGTCAAGATGAAATTTATTTGATTTTTTTATTAAATTTGTCCTCGAGTGATGAGATAAATGTCTTTAATGCACATGATGATAAATGTTTGATACAACGATGCAAACTCATGTAATATGTATATATATGTTGATGTATGTATGCATTGATATATGCTTTCTCGATTTGGAAGGAGAATAGTTGCGAGAGCAGTCTTCACTCTATCTTTGATTTATTATGTCTTCATTTTCACCAGGTGTACTCTTTCAAACCTCAAAATGAGACAATTTGTTTTCCTTTCCCCATCAAAATTTCCCCAAAAATTTGTCATTTCTTGCCCCAGCTTCGATCTTGAGCTTCAGAGGGATCTTCGTTGAATTCCAATATATGCCTCCAGAGAGATTATCTTGTTTGAAAAACGTTTTTCTTCTTCTTGTATTTTCAAAAGTATGAAAATATCTATCAAAAGAGTTTTAAAAATGTTTAATCAAAGATTTTGAAAATATTACCCCTTTCAAGGTTTCACAATTGACAAATCCTAAAACAAGAGTTCATTGTATATCAAAGAATTAATTACACTGTTAATTCTTCAATAAATTATAGCTATTTGACAAATGTCAAGATCAATGCTATCTTTGAGGAATGGTTTAAGTGAGAAGAGGATAAAATGTCTCAGGTTGTTATTTTTAGTCAAAGGTATGGTGTTCTCATATATTTGATATTCACTGATCTGATGAAGTAACTTATGTACTCATTTATTAGAAGTGTTCTCCGACTCCCAGCTCTCATGTTCTCATTCGGGTTGTGCGATGCCTTATCAAAAGATTTATGTGATCGCCTTCTATGCAATAGCTGCACCATCTTCGTATTCGAGCCGCCTTTTCAGGTTTTCAACTCGAATCCTCCTTTGGTTTCAAGACTTTATTCATGATTTACGTCTTGAACCCCCCTTTGTTATTTTTTTATCATGCATTAAAGATTTTAGAAAACTTTTTTTTAAATAAAAGATTAATCCTGATAGGCGGGATGCAATCTGAAGATAGTCTCTTCTGTTTAGAAATCCATGTATGATTAGAAGGGACTTTTTAGGAATGTAATGTAGGCTATGGCTCACGGTTATGAAAGAAAGGGATAAAAGGCCCAAACATGTGTTTTAAGGGTATTTGAACCAAGGATCAATTAACTCTGATGCCTTCGATCTTGATTTGCTCAATTTGGATCTGCTTGTATATGTCTTTCTCTTAATGTTCTATGATCTTCGAGTGAAATGATTCTGGAGTGATTGTTCTTGATCAATCTCACAGGTTGAAGCTTGATGTGTCCTTTGAGTCAAGGGACTCTTTGTCTTTACTCCTTGTCCTCTTTTTTGTTCTTTGCTTTTTCTTTGCTCTTTTCTCTTTGTTTTTCTTGTCTCTTTGCTTTGATTTGATCTTTGCATTCTGCATCTGGTTCAACTTTCGGTATCTTATCTGGATCAATGGTCTTCACTCATGCGAGCATATTTCTTCCACCTTGCCCCTAATGTGGAGGGTGATCCTTGGTTAGGGTTGAATCAGAAGAAAACATAATTCAGGCTCAAATGGGACACAAGGGATATATTTTCTCATTTTGTGAAGGGATAAAGAAAGAATGCCATTCATCATCTCATACATAGAAGTCCTTGCAGAAGAGGTATCCTCAGGGGGATAGATTTTCAGGATTAATTTTTAGTTACATGAAAACAATGTAATTAATGCATTATAGAATTATTTTGAAATAAATCTCTTATTCTGCTTCTTGCTCTCAGCATGTCTCAATTGCTCAGGCTCGCCCTCAGAAGATCGCTTCGAGATGTCCCATATTGTTTCTTCTTGTAGAAAATTTCATGTTCAAGTGAACATCTTGTACTCAATGTCTGTAGGTCTTATTAGTAGAAAAAGTTGGTTTGGCGTCTAAGAAGACAATGGTGTGAATTTATTAGCTCAACAAAATGCATGAGTATGATTTTTGTATATCGAAAGCATATATACAATGTTTCAAATTGGAAAAGAATGTTTCAAGGTCTCAAAGAGAGGGAATGTAAAAAAATTGGTTCTTTGGTGGTGGACATGAATTATTTTGGGGTCAAGAATTGAGAGATTTTATTTTGGGGTTGGACATGATAAGAAAGGTATAATCTTGTCATATGTCAAAAATCTATAATTCTTGAAGAATTAAAAGAATCCGTAATTCATTTGATATTCAAAGAACTCAAGATTAAAATTCGTTCAATTACTCAACCTTAGAAGGTATCATAAGTTCAATCATTAAGATACAAAATTTAAGAAAATATTAAAGACAGATAAAAAATGAGTCAAACAAAATAATCTCTCTGGATGCAAATAGATGCAATGACTTCTCTTGCTTAGCATTAGGATGCCCCTGAATGAATCAGATTCCGGATTTTGATCTTTAATTCCTTGTAGTTCTCAACGGAATGTCCGGAGCTTCTCAGGCGGTAATTGCGTGCTGGATCAACATCGTAGCCCTCAGGATATGGGATTCTTGTCTTAGATCACCATGGAAGGCTCAATCCTATAACCAGCTGAACAAGCTTCCATCGTGCTGATTTATTCGAATCTTGCTTCTATTCTCAATGGCGTCACATGATCATGATCAATTCCATCGAATTCTCCATGAACTAATTCCACGTTTTTATGAATAATGAAATGCATATGAAAAATGCAGATGCAAAAATGTTGATCCCAATGATGAATATCATAGAATAATTTTCTCCAGAAATAAAAGCCTTCACATTACAAGACAATCCACATTACAAACATGCATTCGCTTAAATGTTGAGTCTGAAGTGGATCACTGCCTCGTCTCGGATCTTCGTCCTCGAAAATGATGCCCCTTAAGTGTATTGTAGTCTAACTCCGTTACTGCCCCGATGGTGGTGAAGCCAATGTGTCGCTCCTTGATAGTTACTGATGGAATATTCGTAGATGAGAATCTACTGTTGAATTACTCTTTGGCTCAATAGATCGTTGTTTCAGTCTCAAATGTTGCACAATCTTTGAGCTCATTGCTTCGTCTCGAATATTTGTATTTGGAACTGATGCCCCCTCAATGCTCTATAAACTAACTCCGTTAATACCTCAGCAGTGCTGAAGCCATTGCGTCGCTCCTTGATGACTATCGATGACATGATTGTAGATAAAACTCCACTGTTGGATTATTCCTCAAATTAATGGATCATCATATCAATCTCGAATGATGCACAATCTTCGAACAAATCTCATTCTTGTACTCTGAAATCCTTTTAGTCTTTAATGCATGTCTATATATGAGACTGTTTGATTGAAAACTTTCATCTCTTCTTGAGAATATTTCTCTTGAATATCCCCTTGCGATCAACATTTTCACATTATATTATGACAATGCAATGCAATGCAAAGAAGAATGAAAAATGACACCAACAAAATAAATAAGTTAGTGTACACAAACAAAACATAAAAACAAGTTAGTACATGTAAAATAATTGATACAGATAATATGTTATTCAGAGATGAATATAACACCTACCCGACATGTTATCTATCCGAGCATGCTTTAAATAGATAATAATCCTACCCGTACATGTTTTCTACCCAAAATGAATAATTTCAAAAAAATTGGTCATAACCGTATGGTATCTAGTTCACATGCTTTTATTCGAAAAGAAACAAATTCTACAAATTTAAAGCAAAAGGTAAAGGTTTAGAGTCGTTCCTCCTTTGTGTACACCTATTTTGGGTACCTACTGACAGACAAAGGTTCAGTATGACTATACCTAGGGTGATCGTTCTACGGTTCACTATATGCATGGTTTCGGCTCTAACGGGAAAAAGGGACTCGAATTTTCCTTGATGTCGGTGCCCCTTGGGCTACCAAACCCTCGATCCTCACCCATTACAGGTTTCGAACGGAACGAGTTCAATTCAAGGGATTCACTGCCTTATACCTATACGAGGAATAAATCCCTACGAAGGTATAAGGTATGTATCCCATGGGTTATTTGCTAAAACTCATACGAAGAATAAATTCTTACGAGAGTAAAGCATTCACCCCGACTAATTTGGATCGAAGCTCGTGTCTAGAGCACATGTTATGAAAATGCAAGTAATGTGTGTGAGGAGGAACGTACCTACCTTTGACTCAAAAAACGAAAAGAAAAAAAACTCGACAAAACTTGGATCAACCTGAAAGCAAAAAATCAAATGTTAGTATGACAACTAAAAATGAAGCAATTAAAAACTTCAATAAAAGGATCATAGATTAACTAAAGACTCGAACTCATAAATTCGACCACAACAACAACGTGTAAGCGACCTACAGCTTGACTCTCTAAAAAAATCCCCAACAGAGTCGCCAAGCTATTATAACCATTTTTTAGGTAAAACAATTAAAGTATTATTTAAAAAACGATTATGACTTTATTTTGGAAAAAATTGGTGATTTGAAATTAATTTGAAATTAAATTGAATAGAGTCACCATCGACCTTTGAGTTAGGTAGGTCGAATACCTAAAAACATCTTTTAAAAACAATTTTAATAAAAATCACTTTTTAGACAAAAAACCGGTCTACGTTTACAAAGATTCTATTAAAACGGGTTCGGGAGTCAATTACGTGTGGGGAAGGATAAGCACCCCCAACAACGCCCAAAATTGGTACTGTGTCGCTTACGCATCGTCGTAAATAGTGGAAAATATAAATTTAATATAAAGTTAAAATGTGATCCATTTATCGAACATTGATTAATTTACTTCGAATTAGCAATTTAAAGAAAATCCTTTGACTTGAAAAAAACCTTGAAATTTGCAATCTTTCGTAAGGAAAGCTATTTCAACCATTTTTCATTTATTAAAGAATATTCAATCATTGAATATGTAAGAGATGCATATTGAATATAAATTGCAAATTGATAATTGCGAAAAAATAAAATACATAACTTTCATTGTTCAATATAAAATAAAAATGAATTAACAACTAACAAACTAACATTAATTTATTTCAAGTTCCATTTAGTTTGAACGTCGTATTAGATTGTACCACTTCGATCAAGTGATACTTTCCACGCACGTTCTACAAATACGAGTTCTTGAAATATTCAAATAATATTTAAATAAAAAATTGCAATGGAAATAAATACAAATAGAAATATGCGAAATAAAATATTTACAACAAACAGAGTTAAGCATATTTTTATATATGTTACGAATACATAACATAAAAAAATATGTACATACATAAGGGATTGATATAAATGTGAATTAATATTACAAACCAAAATATAATGACCAAAAAGTAAGTACTTGAAATTACAAGGATCAAAATAATAAAAACATAAACTCAAAGCACCAAAATAGTACAAACACGAATTTAAAGGACTAAAATAATATAAATAGAAATTTAAGGGGCTGAATAATAAATATAAATAAACCAGAAACACAATCGAATACATTAAATAATATAGATTTGAATGCAACAAGTACAAATATTGAGGTCAAAAAATAAGTAACAAAAACCTATATAAACCATGAACATGTGACTAAATTAAAAGAACACTAATTTTAGGGTCATGAATTACAAACAAAACATCATCATGAAAGACACGTAAATATTGAATAATACAAACCTCAAGAACACAATAAAACCATAAAATAATATTTGAGACTAAAACAGTAAACATTAAAATCAAGAGACCAATGTATAAACATCTGAAAGAAAAAATAATCAAGCAAACATGACTAAAATGAACTAATATGAAAATGTATTATTATAGTATAAATAAACTGAAATACGATGGCAGAAGCTGAAATAAAACCGTTAAAATATTTAAGAGGTAAACAAGGACTAAACTACAACATATACAAAACAAGAGATCAAAATAAAACGAAAATAAAGTTGCATTGATGACTGAAATGGAAGGGTACAAAATACAGAGGACTTAAAGTATGATTTTCCCCAAAATTTAAAAAAACACAGGAAGAATGTTACAAAGATGCGAGGACTAAATGGGCTATTTACCCTCTTATGCTGAAACACGCATACCCTGACCCCTTTAAACGGCGTCGCATTGGAACTGGGATATAATTCCATTTTAGGGTTATTAGAAACCCTAATATCATTTGTTTCAAGCCCCCAGTTCAGTCGTGCTTCCATTTTTCTCTCTGTTTCCCTTCTCCCTCACCGAGACCTAAAAAACCGAGGCTCCCCGGCCACCGTATCAGTGGCCATGGAGAGCAAACTAACCCTGAAAGACCCTCAATCTCCCTTTTTCTTTATTTTCTTTGAAAACCCTATCCATAAAATACACTAACCCCAACCGTTACCCTACCCAAAACTAGAAAACAAACCCTAAAGGTAAAGGGTTTACCTTTAATATTGTATTATGGTAGCTCCGGTGAGGCCAACGAAAGGTTGGATCTGGCTAAAGGTATCTCATTCTCTTTCTTTTTTTTTTTGGTTCGAATCTGGTATGTTCTTCTCTGTTTTTTTTCGTTTTCCCAAATGGTTTTTCCCCCTCTCTTGAATACCCGAATCCCCTTTTTTCATAATGGTTGCCTGTTGGATTTTAAGGGTTCTTTCGTTGATAATGATATAGTCTGTGGGGTAGGGATATGATTTTTTGATTTTGGTATGCTTGAATCCCAAAAAACCGGGATTTAGGATGATATTTTAATGGCTTTTGATTATTTTTTTTCTGTTTTCTGACTTGGTGTGATTTCTCTCTGTTTGATGGATGCTTGTTGAAAATGATGAGAGCCATAGGGTCACTGTTGGTGCAGACAAGGACGGCGGCGGGAATAGGTGGCAGCAACAAGGACTGGTGGCGGCACCAGCTAGCTATGATTAGGGTTTTAAAACCCTATTTGCTTCGGGTCGGGTCGCTAGGCCGGTTCGGGTTAGCTGGATCAGGGTACTGAATGATCTGGGTAGGGTCTCTACTGGCGGGCTTGTTAACTGGGCATTGGCCTTTGTATCAGATGGGCTTCGAGTTTGAGCCTGCAAAAATTTGTAATATGTAATTAATAAACATAATAGTAAT